CAGGCTCAGCTCAGGGAATATTCTCTTAAATTCCACTGCCAGGCACTTGCTTTTCACAGTTTATAACAGTTTATATTCCCTCACTACCATCCCCTTGCAGAGAGTTACAAACAAGCTGAGGAAATCACAGTCAGAACCTATCACAGCACATCCTTGTACCTCTTGAGCAGCAAACTACTCAAAGATCCTAAAAGCAATTAGACAAAGCCCCAAAGACCCTGAGGGCAGGCTTTACAGTCTCCAAATGTGATGCCAGTGGCAGGGGCAGCACAGAACTGCCAGGTCACACCAGGGCTCCTTAGTTGTCACTGTTTGGTTGTTGTATCACTCTCTGCTCACCATTAGGAGTCAGGGGTTGATAACTTGGTTTCTGGTGGACAGGCCCATGTCCCTTTGCTTCCTGCTTTTCTCAGAGCTCTCTCTATTTGTGCCCGGATGGAGCCAACCCTGTTCAAATTACTGCCAGTCACAGAGATGCAAATATCCATCAGGCTGTTTATTGGACTTTCCCTTCCACAGCTCCACCCTGTGCTTCAGCAAAGGAAGCATTCAGAGAGGAAAGGAACTGCCCTACTTTAATTAGAGACCCTGCTTTTCCCAGTGACAGGCTATCACTAATTACAACTCATCAGTGACCCCCCACTTGCCTCTGATGCTGCTGCTTGGTGAGCTAATGAGGGGCAGAGGAGGAGCTGCAGCAAGGGCTTGTCCTGAGTGGTTTGAAGTGGCGTAGGGAGTGTTTAATTCCCTCTAAAAAATGGAGTTTGCACTGCAGGACTGGGCTTTACAACGGCAATACTGACATGTTCTTGTGACCTGCTGTTTGAAACCTCACCAATGCTGTATTTAACTAATAAACATTGCAGCACGTGCTTGCCTTTGCTTCTGAGGGGAAGGAGGGCCGTTCCCATTCCTGGTTTGTGTGCAGATGACCTGCTCCACCTCATTAGCTCTGCAGTGCTGGTTGGTGTGCTGGGAGGGATGATCCTGAAAGATCCACCCATCTGAAAGGGATGAAGAGCGGCAGCCCGGACAAAGCCGCCGTCCCTGCTTCCCACGTGGGAGTTGATTCCATGGGGCTGCAGGAACACGGATGCAAAGGAGCAAGAAGTCTCCTTAGTAGGCAGGCAGTGAAATGGAGAAGAGTGTTCCAGCTCTGATATTTGAAATCACATACGTGCATTTAGTATTAAACCACGTTCCGTAATCAACAGTTCAGGTGCTGATTTGGGTTAAACCCCTGTAGGAAGAGAAGTGCTGTCCCCTTGAGTTGTGGAGAATTATAGATTTAAAGGACTTTGGATCCTTGAAAAAACTCTTCTGTAGCTGGATGAAAAATCCCTCTTTCCTGAAAGCTAATAGAAACAGCAAATTAACCACTCAACTGAAATAATACAATAACGTTTTTCAGAATTGTCTGATTCACCCCAGCTCTCAAAAACCTGATATTTAAATAAGATGTTACTGCAATTTAAAAACACTTCTGTGAATTTTACCAGATATTCTGGTTTAAACCTGTATATCATATCTCTTTTGACACCAGTGAGATTCCACTGTGTACTCAAAGGCACTGCAATGTTTTGCCGAACAGGGGTGTTATAAAATATGTCCTTAAATTAAAATTATTCTTAAACCCCTGAATTAGTTAAATGTCAGTATCTGTTATGATGCAGTATGTTATGAGGCATCAGTTAGACTCGATTTGGGGTCACTCGGTACCATGAGAAGGGAGAATCCCACATTTAGGAGGGATCCAGAGAACCAACTTTCAGGGTGAAATGATCTTCTGTTGTGTGTAAAGCAGTTGTTGGAAGCTCAGGAAGAGGGATCAGTACTGGGAATGCCGTTGGCATAGCGATAACCATCAAACTGAATGGACTCTTGGAAAGAACAACACTTGATAACAGCTGTGTTTGCATTAAACATTTTTAGAGTTCAGTTCAGAGCAGCTCTGCACCATATATGTAGAATTTTTAGGCAGAATTTGCATACAGAAAGCACGGAATGCTCTTTGCTGGGGAAATTATTTGCTTCTGCTATTTATTACGCTCCCCCCCCCTCCATCCCCTGGGCACACGTGGCTGCAAGGATTCGGGTTAGTAGAGAAAACAGGTGTGCCTGGTCAGAGGAGCAAAAAAAAAAAAAAAAAAAGCAAGTATTCAAGGGAAGAGTAGGATTTTTGTTTGGAATGAGATGGATAAAGCAGCCCTCCCTCTGGGTCCAGCTAAACTGACCTTTTGGCAAGAATGAATCAAGGCACAGATACCACGGCCCAGATTTACCTCATCTGATGCAGATGCTTTAATTCTGTCCTTATTTGGCAAAGGATTTAAGCACAGTCTTAAGTCAGGAATATTGTACTAGACTTAGTCTGTCTTCCAAGGAAGAGGGGTTCCTCTGGATGGTTCTTCAGGTCACCAATGCACTGAGCCATCTTCTCTCTCTTCAGAGAGACCAGAAGGAACTTGAGTGATAAAACTGAACCAGTCTAACAGCTCATGGCAGGTGACAGGGACATTATCCCCCCTCTCCCTTGCCCTTCTTCCCAATGATGGGGATCAGTTTTCTCTGCTGCAGCACCTCTCCTGCTTGCCTGACTGCACAGTAAAAGCTGAATCAACTCATAAATTTGGAAGAAAATTATACTTTTTATTTGGCCAGATGGAGCAAAAACATTCCTGCAGGCTGAGTGAATCACATCTAGGGTCAGGAGAGTGCCAGGGAACACATTAAGGAATACTGCAATATGAAGGATTCTTTTCTTCCATCAGAACTGACCTTAGAAGGTTGTCTTTTGCTTTCCAGAAGGCCAAGGATTCAGTAACCTGGTCTAATGGAAGTTATCCCTGCCCATGGCCATGAGATCGGAGCGGGATGGTCTTTAAATCCCTTCCAACCCAAACCATTCCACAATTCTCTGATCCCAGCACAATACTCACAGCCTGTGAGTCTCACCTGTTATACCTCGGTTTGGATTTGGAAATGGAAGCTTTGTGAAGGTACAGCTTCTGTGGAGTTCTTCTGGCAGGTTTTTGTTTTTTTTTTTTTTTATCATGAGCCTCAAAACAACTGAAGGTGAAGCTCCCAGAGCTGTGCATGTCCCACCTGCCTCCCTGCTCCTGGGACAGCACAACCTGAACGTGTTGGGATTTGGCTGGAACACTGCAACTGTTCTTTTTCTCCTGAAATGCACATTCTCATTTCAATGACCCAAAGTGTCAGGTACCTGAATTTTATACGTCATGGGTAAGATGTCACCTCTGTCAGGCACTGCCATCAATCCCATTTTGGGTCATCTCCTCTGCAGTGATTTTAGGAAGTGGGATGAAGCTCCTGGCTCAGCAGGTTCACTTCGAAGGGTGCTGCCTAAGACAGTGTCCTGGTCCCACCTGACCTGCACAGCTCATGACATCTCAGAGGTCCCATGACCAGCTGATTTCACCTGTGTCTGAGGTAACCAGACCATTTTTCTTTCCTTCTGAGGGAGAGGTCCAGTGAGTAATAGCAGATATCTTCAGTTCTTCTGGTATTTTTGCTTTTCTAATCATAGTTTATTTTTTCCAAGTCTTTGAGCTGTAGATTTTTTTTTTTTTTCCCTTTTCAGTCTTTCTGCAGAGAAAAAAATATCTCAGCTGTGGGTTTTCATGGAGGCCAGCAAGAAGGAAGATGCAGTTCTGCTGTGGTTATGCCACCTGTGTAAAATCTATATCCAGGTCTTTTTAACTCCTGGTTGTTGCCTGGAGCTCTCTTAGGCTTCTGGCACAGAAAATCCTCGTAGAACCAGGGAAAGGTCTCTCTGTGTCCAGTGTCACCACAGTCAGAAGAGTGAAAACCAACACAGTGCCTGTTTTGTGAATCAGAATTCTGCCTTTTGGGTAGAATAACACTGCTTTTTCTTGTCTTGAAACCAGTTAAACCATAAAAATAGCGGGAGACAGGTGGTAACCATCATAAAACTGTGAAGGAACGTGCTGGCTGGTTCTCCTGCAGGTGCTTGGTGAGGGCAATGCCTGAGTGTCCAGAGCTCCTCACGCTGATTGATTGTTCCTGTTCTTATCAACTGGAGATCCAGTCCATCTTATTTCTTCCTTATTTTGTCAGTCTTCCCTCAATGCCACGTAGGGGTAGAGGTGACAGCAGGTGCCACGTGGGGTCTCCTGTCCCCAGAGCTCAGACAGTCTCTGTCCCACATGTCCCACGTGGAGCAAGAGTGAACTTACCTTCCATATTCCTCCCTTGTGTGCAACCTAGAGAAGGCTTCACTGTTTCAAAAGAAGGATTCTGGGCTAAGAGAGAGCTGTGCCATTTTGGAAACATCTTTTTAATTTAATTTTTATTCGGGGTGAGAACAGAATTCGTCTCTTGAGGCTGCATTTCACGTGGAGGGAGGCAGCTGCGTTCCCATGGTTTGAAAGGGATGGAGTGTCCATGGAGCAGGATCTCCCCACTCTCAACGTCCCCTCGTGCTTTCCAAGTGCTTAGAATTCCTCACAAATTACAGTCTTTTGTGGTACAGAAAACTGTGCTGTTTTAACTGATTGAAGGGGTGGTGGTGCTGGGGGGGGAATATAATAGGTTGAGAAGTGTTTTCTTGCTGTGCTGGATGGTTTGTTTAGGCTTCTGTCCTGCATCAGGGTCTGAAGGAAGGGATCTTCCCATGCCCAATGGGACTCCCTGCCCTCTACTATCACATCCCTAAGTGTGGCTTCGTATATAAAATCAGCTATCAGCTGTAGCACCTCCATATGCTTCAACTGCTCAAACAGTATAAAGGAAAGGAGTTCTCAGATATAAATCCCAGATTGCTGATAGTTCCTGGGCAGTGGGCAGGTGTTAGTGTTCATTTCAGGTGGTAGAATGATTATTGAATCCAGTAGGAAACCTGAAAAAAAACCCACCCTCACATGAGGAAATAGTTCCCAAGATGAAAAACATTTAAGTTTACACTAGAGAGACAATAAGCAGATTATTGACTTCAAGAATCCCACTTTCAGGAGGCTGTGAAAAGAGTCGGGAGAAGGGTCCAGAGATCAAAAGAAGACAAAGATGTTAACAGATCTTCCTGAGAACAAGAATGTGGCAGCAGGAGGGAGACTTGTCAGAGCCATCTAGGGTGACAGCGTGGAGGGCAGAGAGAGACCTCCATACTCTATAAGGTAATCTAAAGAAATGGCCCTCCCTGCTCACAGCAGAAAGAGCTGAGAGCTGGCAGCCGGCACCAGGAAGCCCTGGGGAGCTGCTAAACAGCTGTGTTGCATATATTGTTTTTTGAGATTTGTTTTTTCAGAGTGGTTTGGTTTATAAGATCTGCCCAGAGTCTGGAGATCTGGGCTCTTCGCACTGCCAGTGGTGGAAAACAAATACTTGGAGCGAAGTATTTTTAGCTTGAGCATGACTCTGTGGACAAAAATCATCTGTGGATCAAATATTATTTTTCTAACTTTAAAAAAAAAAAATATCTTCAACATCCAGTTTTTCAAAATTACGGTGAATTCTCACAGCTTTGCCCACAATTCGTGTATCCATCCGTCTCTTCATCCACACAAATCCAGTTTAAATTGTAAATTTAAGCACACACTCAGGTGAGTGTTATTTGTTTAACACCTGGTTGCACTAAGGTGCAATAAGAAGGGCAGTACATGGGCTGATGTCAGGAATCTGGCAAGGATAAACGTTACTGATAATAAATGCCGAATATGCAGCCAGTAAATATTCATAGAAAACAGCGTTGCCTTGCTTCCTGCTGTTTTATTTATTTTATTAATTTTTATCCATACTATGTCCTAAAAAACATAGGATTTATTCTGAAGAAACCCCTACACAGTTGTTGGCTTTTAGGAGAAGAGAACCCTCAGTTTAAGGGTAAGAATATATTACAGGTAGGAGACAGTAACTAGAAGAAAAATAGTTGTTTCCCAACGGTGTGGTGGAGTTGAAAGGCGAAAAGAATTTGCTGCAGTCTTGTGAGAAGCAATCACCCCTTGGGATAATCCAAACTAATAAACCCTCTCTTTTACACTATTAAGAAATTTCTTCCTACATTCTTAATCCACCACATTTCCTGGTGCTAATGATGTGGGCACTTCTTTCCTCAAATGTGTCATTCCCATTACACTTGATATTCAAGGAAATCTCATTTCTCCCCTCAAGACGCAAAGGAACACAAGCAACAGGAAGCAATTCTGTATTTTGAAAGACCCGAAACTCCACTGGGTTGTGTCCTAAGTAATTTATAATACATAAGTAAGGGCATACCTTTTACCCTTTTTTTTTTTTTTGGTGTAAAATGCCCATTTCACAGCTGTGCTACCAACAGGAACTCAAAACATCCACGTGCTCTGAGTTAAATCTCAGCAATGGCTGCAACTCACTTCCCACACCAGCACAGTCCAGGTGCCCAGAGCTTGGGAATAAATAAATAAATAAATAAATAAATAAATAAATAAATAAATAAATAGAAAATGGAGAAGAGTAACCACTCTATTTAAAGATGTGTCCCACAGCTGAGGATCCCAGCTGTAATCCTCATGTCCAAAGAGAAGGAAGGTGACTGGGGACAGGAGGAATGTTTGTGCCAGTGGGCTCTCACCTCCTGAAGATGCTGCTCTTTTGAGGAGGCTCTGCTTCCCTGAAGAACTGTGGAGTTGGGGAAGGATTGCTTGCTTTGCCCTGGAAATCTGTAGAGCCCAGTCTGACTCAGGTGATTGGCAAGAAAACACTGTTTTAAAAATCACTTCTGTTGAACTTGATAGGAACTGTGCCACTGCCTTCAGAGGGACCTGGGCCAGGCCCTGACCTGTTGAAGAAATAACAGTGACAAGGCTGGTTTCCCTCCTGGCCCCAACTTTTGGCTCTTCTGCCCACCCCAGTGTTTACACTTTCTCAAGCTGGGCTGGTTTGATTGCAGCAGCACAGACAGGCCCTGCATCCCTCTGACCCAGCGTTGTGTGGAGCTTTTTTTGCTCATCCAGCTCCTCCAATTATTGAGGGAATAGCCTCAAAGAATCTGAGGAATCACAGATATTCTGGGGGAAAAAAAAAAAAGGTCTGTTGGCTGCGAGTGAGCGTGTAGAGGAGGAAAAGAATGATCTAACATCTTGATTCAACATGTCTGTTTTATCAGTCATTTGCTCTGAGTGGGTAGCAAAGATATGATCTAATAGGTGCAGGATTCTTATTTCCTGTGAGAAGCTGAGCATGCCTTTTGGGTGAGATCAGAATGTTTTTATTTTGGTTTGTTTGCTGAGTATTTTTATCAGCTAACATCAGTGGCCACGTGGCAAGAAGCATTTAAGTCAGTATGCTTCAGACTATATAAATATCATTATGATCTTCTGGCTCTTTTATAAAGCTTTATAGTGTATATTCTCTAAATCTTTCAAGGCTTTATAGTGTGTGTAGCCCAAAACTTTCAAGTGATGTGCTAATTTTCTCTCCGTGTGGCCCAAGCCCATGTTCATACTTAGGTATAAAAGTTACTATTTTCCTTCGAGAAAATACATTTAATAGTAGTGCAATCATCCTCGGAGTTTACTTCTCTCAAATTCAAGAAAAAGAGATAAATTAGAATGAAATCAGAATTGCCATCATCTGCCCTGGAAATCAGTGGTGTATCTGCAGTGATAAGCGGCTGGATTGACATCCACAATCATAGTTAGGCATCTCACTATGCCTGGATTTCCCTGGGAATTCAGACACTTAATTAGGATTTGGTTTGGTTATCTCTGTGCACCTGGCTCCCTGCCTGGTATGAAGTGTCAGCAGGATCAGCCCCCTCAGCTCCTGTGCTCGAATCTGCCAGGATCCTTCTGCAGGCAGGGCCTTGTGCTCCCCAGTGACTCCAGTGGAGTCAGGAGAGCCTGGAAGCTGCTTCTGTGGAGCTCGTTTGGGAATCTGACTCTAAGTTTTATTACAAATGAGGAGCTTTCCATACCTTTTTTATTTTTTTTTTTTTTTTTTTTTTGTCTGTGGGGTGATCTCTTTGCCTTTAAGGTATGACAGAAGCAGAAGAGGTAATTGGAATAGGTTTGCAAAATACAAGGTACAGCAAGGAATTGTTCTGGTAATCAACTTTAAAAGGTTGGGACACTGAGCTTCCTTCAAGGCAGGTTCCTTTCTTCTCCCTGGATTTAGAACTAATCAGTGCTCCAGTGTATACAGCACAAACATTTCCACTGGGAAAGGTTTGGAATGACTGGAGTGACCCGAATACAAGTGCTCAGAAGGCAAAAGTGTAGCAAATACATCCCAAGCAGAACCAAACAGCTCTTAATGCCAAGCCAGGCTTGCACTGACCTCGTGATGCCACGGCCTTGCATTTGGGTGTATTACAAGGTGTATAAATAGACAAATGAGCTCCCCCTACCAAATAATCCAGATCAAATTCCTGGATTGGCATATCTTGGTTGTTATTCCTCCCTTCACCCAGCTTTGTGCCATCTCCAACCTTTCTCAGCAGCAACGCTGCCTCCTCCTCTGAGCTCTGGGATATGATTGAATGGCACTGCCCACAGTAAGACCCCTGTGCTACTACCAGTGCTGTGCCTTTTGGACCTCCCAGACTATTATCTTTGCACTTTTGGATTTTATTTTCCCCATGGAGCGGTTTCTTGGCCGTCTTCAAGCCATGACTTGGGTGCTCAATCAACTTTTATAAAGAACTACTTTAAAGCTGATGTTCTGTGAAATGTACCCTGGGGATTTTTTGGGTTTATTCTGTCAGCTCCACCACTTCTAATCAAACAACTTTATAACCATAGAATCACAGAGTGGTTTGGGTTGGAAGAGACCTTAAAGATCACCCAGTTCCAACCCCCTGCCATGGGCAGGGACACCTTCCACTAGCCCAGGTTGCTCCAAGCCCTGTCCAACCTGGCCAAGGACACTTCCAGGGATGGGGCAGCTAAAACCTCTCTGGTTGTCAAATCATGAAATAATTTTAAGAATTTAAGACCTGTGTTCCATTGAATCAAGAGGATTGATACTCTCTGTGTTGTGAGCCTTTGGCTTTAGAAGTGAGTACATCTCCTTATAATTCTTACTTGAAATCGATGCCGTGCTGATCCTTTTCTAGTCACAGTTCCCAAGTTTCTAGAAATGCTGGCACATAAACTATTTTCTGCATCTTCCGTGCTTTTGCCAGATTTCTTATATAAAAACTCTACAAGCTCAGAGCTCCTTGGACAGCTTTTCAAAACTCTGAAGTGTAAATTATCTCATATCTGGATCCAGGTAACCCTGAGGTGACTGAGGAAGCATCAGGGAACTGTCTCCGTATGGAGCTGTAATCTGTTGCTTTCTACTCCACAACCAGAACCCAGAAAGGCTCCAGAAGAAGATGTTGCAGCCTTGAGCAGCTTCTTTCCTCGTGCCATGGCTGGAAAAGTACCGTGTGTAAGACTGACAGAGTCCACATCACAGCGGGGCCTTCTTTAAATGCCTCCAAGGCTTGGAAAACAAAGATTGCTCTAAGGTAGGAGACTACAGATAAGAGAATTCTTTTCTGTATTTTCCTTGTGCTTTGTTCATCAGCTCATCTTTTGTGTTATGAAAATTAGAAGTTCAGCTGTTTTACTGGTTGACACTTTCTGCAGAGTGCAAAAAACCAAACTGCAGTTTCATCTCCCAACACTTAATGTACATTTCCAGAGGAGACAACTGAGAGAAAGGTGCATTATCTTTATAAAGGAAAAAAAAAAAAAAAAAGGAGAAGCCCACTCCACAATTACTTTTCAAGACAAACATTTGGGCATTTTGCCAGAAAAACATAAAATGCTGTCCCTCATCTGCAATGTGCATCTCCCCCTTGCAGCTTATCCCAGTGACTGCTCTCAGGCCTTTGAATGGAACCTAGAAAAAGTTGTATTTCAAGGAATAGCCCTGGAAAGCTTTGATTCATTGCTTGTGTTCAGGATTTGTGAGATGTGCTGTAATTGCATATGTTATTACTCTTGCAATATTTTGTATTACGTTACTGCACGTTTATAGACCAAAACTTTATAGACAGATAGAAAGCAGCCTGAGAAGGAGGGCAGACATAAATCAAGGTATAAAACTGCCCTGAATAATATTTTATGTTTCACTATATTGACCTGGAATTACAGGATAAAGACATTTTCCACTGGTGCCCTGTTCTTTTCTTGCTTTCCCGGTGTGTGTGTGTGTTTCAGGCTTGTTGGAGTTCTCCATTAAACCCAGAATCTGTATCAAATGGAGCTGCAGTGTGCTGCAGCACAGGGAGGTTTCAAAGCAACAATTACTCCATTATTTCAGCAGAGATTACCTGTTTGAAATGAAACCCACACTGAATCCTTTCTGACCCGGTCCTTATTGTGATACTGATAACAAGCCACACTTTCCAGGCTTTATCTTACCTCCTACAGGGTAATCTTTGCTTGTGGGGCTTAATTCTGCTAATAGCACCCTTGACTGGTTGCCAGACAACAAACACAAGGAGGTGAAAACTGAATGGCTCCAGTCTGACCGCTGATAACTCATAGAGACTTTTTCTTCTCAGAATTCCCTCCAAAATATCCAAGTTAACCGGTGGGCAATCAATCACATTCCTTGTATGCTTCCCCCTCCTTCAGATTGGTTATTCTTTGAAAGAAATTGTGATGATCTTTTCTACAGTTTCAGATTCTTCCCTACCCCCCCCCCCTCCAAACAACGGTAAATAGTAATTCCAGATGGTAGAAATTACTTTTAAATTAAATCAGTTAATCCAGGGAAGGTATGCTTATCTAATTCCCCTGTTTTCAGTGGTAATGATGCGATGGAAATGGGGAAAACTGATGTGCACTGAAGGTATGCAAAATAGTTTGAGATTGTAAAATGCTTTCCCCCCCACCCCCCTTTTCTGATTTACTGTCCATGAAAATGAATTATAGACTCGTGAAGAAAACAGAAGTTTTTATTTGCTGAACTCAATAGGCTTCTTTCTGGGGACTTGAACTTTGCAAAGTGCTGAAAAAAAGATTACTGCATTCCACGGGCAATTTCTCTGTTTGAACCAAATGGGAGGGATGACAGTGTGCTCTGCTCTGCCTTTCTGCCTCCCCAGATAAACCTCAGGGCTGTTCATTGTTCCTCTGCTCTGTGTGTGTAGAAGCAGAGCCTTAAAAACTCTGCTAAATTATGTATTTGAGCCTGGACTTATCTTTGGTTGTGGCTGCCCCATCCCTGGAAGTGCTCAAGGCCTGGTTGGATGGGGCCCTGAGCAACCTGATCAAGTGGGTGGCATCCCTGCCCACGGCAGGGGGGTTGGAACTAGATGATCTTTAAGGTCCCTTCCAACCCAAACCGTCCCATGGTTCTATAATTCTGTGATTTAACCAGTTCCTCTCAAAACCGAGGAGTGCAGAAGATCCTCAGCACCTTGCAGGTCTGGACCACGTGTGAACCAAAACCATTATCACAAGCAGGACGGTGTAAATGGATCTGAAATCAGTGCACATGCATTAACTCACACCAGCTGAAGGTTTGGTGGGGACTCATTTGTTTTTTTTCTCCAAAGTGATTTTGCTTTTACCATCTGAGTATATGATTATAAGGTAACCAGTTAGTGCTGAGGGGGAATATGGTTGGCTTCACTGGAAAATATAAAAGTATCCACTGTTCCTTCAGGGAAATCATTTTAATAGATAACAGCATGTTGTACAATGTTTCATCAGTGATATTTAGATCTAAATTAGGAGCAGTTGTGAGATGGGTTGCCGATTTTCTTGTGATAAAAGGGAAATAGTTCAAGAAATATGGACCAGATGTTATCTTAATCCGATCCTCATGTACAAGAGCACACTATGAGACAGTAATAATAGTCCCTTCTACCTGTTTCTAATTTTCCTGCTCTGAAACACCCCCTGTGAAAAATAGATTAAACCAACACATCATTTATGAATCGGCACTAGCGGGTTGGAGTTTGTGTGGAATGCGGCGTGCGTGGCACCGACCGGAGGGCGCAGCCACCAGATCCTGATCCATGTTTGGAAATGCTCCTTTGACAGGAATGTTTGAGGCAGCAGCTCTCAGTGATTTAGAAGGAGAGTAGCCAGTTTGGGTTTGAATCAGGCCTTTGGTTCAGCGTGTCCCTACACAGTTTCAAATTTGTCATCGGCGTTTCTAGGCAGTGCACGTTATACAATCCTCAGCAGGCCAAGGGAAGAGGGGGTTGATCCTCAGCTGCTGTAAATCAACACTGATCCATTGATTTAGATGGAAACTGCTCTGATTTGTACCATCTCATGGTCTGGACAAAGTGTATTAACTTTCCCCATGAAAATCCTTCCCAACAAAAAGCTCCATTCACAGTGCCGCTGCATAAGCAGTAACTAATGTGTCTCTGTTCTCGTAATAATGTTTAATACCTGCATCATTTCCTACTTGCCGGGGCAGCCGAAACATTACTCTTTGCATTGACGTAAGAGGCCGAGTGCTGGGCATTTGTAATATTTGGGACAGCTTTTTCCACGGCTCCCTGTCTGAGCCGAAGAATTTTGCCAGTATATTCACATCTCTTGGCATTTTCGTGCCAAGGAGGCGTTTGGGCAGCTGTCTGGCGGCTCAGGAGACAGGATTTTAATTTTCCTTTGAGGAACACGAGCAATAGGGAAGTAATTTATTCAGCAACAGTCAGAACTGTGGGAACCATGGGGGGGGGGGAGTTTATTCACTGGAAGTAGCAATAGCTGTGAGGATACCAACAGCAGTGTTAATTAGACTGCTTTATCTAGGCTGGTCACCTTCACATTTTGGATTATTCCAAGCTATTTAGAAAGCAGAGTAAAATCCCATTTTCCTGGTTGGATATTTTCATATTGCTACGAACAGAGGAAACAAGAGCAGGCAATGAGACAATTAATCTTCAGAGCCGACCCACACAGCTGGCTGGCTGCTCCAAGGATTCCACGAGGACAGAACCAAACTTTTCCTTTTGAAACAAACTCCTTTGGCCTTACTTTTGTTTTTAAAAAGAATGGATATGCATGAGAGAGCTGAAGAGGGACTTTTGACAAGGGCATGAAGTGCAAGAGGGAATGTCTTCAAACTGACAGTGGGTAGGGTTAGATGAGATACTGGAAAGCAATTCCTTATTGGAATGTGAGGGTGGGCAGGCCCTGGCACAGGTTGCCCAGAGAAGCTGTGGCTGCCCCTGGATCCCTGGAAATATTCTAGGCCAGGCTGGACGGGGCTTGGAGCAATCTGGGATAGTGGAAGGTGTCTCTGCCCATGGAAGGGGTTGGAATGAAATAAACTTTAAGGTGCTTTCCAACCCAAACCATTGGATGATTCCATGGTATAGCATTCACAGATGGATTCACCCCTCTGGTGTTTTTTGGGTGTGAGGTATTATTTCCAACATATTTAAAGATAAATGGTCAAACTTACACTGGAAGGAGTGGCTCTGAAGGGCCAAAAGAATCAGTGAATCCTGGAATAGTTTGGGTTGGAAGAGACTTAAAAGATCATCTCATTCCACCCCCTGCCATGGGCAGGGACACCTTCCACTAGCCCAGGTTGCTCCAAGCCCCATCCAACCTGGCCTTGGACACTTCCAGGGATCCAGGGGCAGCCACAGCTGCTCTGGGCAACCTGTGCCAGGGCCTGCCCACTCTCACAAACAGGAATTCCTTCCCAGTATCCCATCTGTCCCTGTACTCTGGCAGTGGGAAACCATTCCTTATGTCCTGTCCCTCCATCCCTTGTCCCCAGTCCCTCTCCAGCTCTCTGGGAGCCCCTTCAGGCCCTGCAAGGGGCTCTCAGGTCTCCCTGGAGCCTTCTCTTCTCCAGGTGAACCCCCCCAGCTCTCCCAGCCTGGCTCCAGAGCAGAGGGGCTCCAGAGGTTGTGGGCTCACGTAGGAAAGCTGGAATATCAGGAGTTCCCTTCAAATATTTCTAATCTGTCTGTGCATCTATGAATACCCATGGATGATATATCAACACATGAGGGGAAAAATCGTTCAGTATTTCTGTAGGAAAATATTTTTATTGTGTTTTAGGCTGTTAATCCAACAGCTGCCATTTTATTTGTATTGTCTCTGTACCTCAAGGCCCTGCTTGTCTTTTGAGGGTCCAGTTTTGTTTGGTTCTGTACAAATGCTTGCAGGGAAACTGTCTTGAGTCAGACAGCGTATTAAGGTGAGACAGGTGGATCAACAGGAACTTGGATCATAAAGGAATGGCAGAAGATGTGAAAACAGAGCCCGAGTTGCCACATGCCCTGAACTGCTCACATCAATGGCAGAGCTGTCATTTGGGATGAGAGTGCCTCAGGAATGCACATGGGAAACTTGATGGATTAAGGTAGCTAATGAGAGAATAAAATGAGAGGAAGAAAAATGCGGAGTGGCTGAAAATAGTTATAGGGGAGAAAATCCACCTGTGGATTGGGAACACTCGAAAGGCCGGAGCAGCAGAGCTGGTTACACACATCTAATCAAAATGCAAAGTGCAGTTTAGAGCTCTCAGTGCTAA